TGAGCCATGAGCGAGACCACTCGGGACCCCAACCGAAGTGACGACGGATCCTGCAGAGAACGTAGACAGAACCGGCGCAGCGTTTGTAGGTACGCTGCATTCGATTTACTAACCGCGTGCTTGCATGCTAAGTCTCTTTATTTCAGGTGGTGGGTTTCCAATTTTGTCCTAATGCTTTTCTTTCCCATATAAATACCTAGTTATACTCTCTTCTATACACTTGCACACGTCGCTTAAGCCACTTGTAGTTAATTTAGATAACATTTTCGTGTTTATGGCATTCCCGTCAAATATAATTTCTAACCTCCTGAACTTATCTCGGATTCGTTTGTAGACAACTTATTTCATATGCTGATTAATTTAAGATTTATGTCACCGTTTGCTTATGCATCACTCGATTTATTTTATTAGTTATCTTTCACACAAGCGATTGGCTGTTGCTTGATATCCCCGGTGTGGCTGCGCTTGATGTGCATGTTGACAAGGTGCCTACCTGTCTATTACCCACTACCTCGTCCATACTGGCTCTAGGAGAGCGTTTGTGGTTGCTGGAGGGGACGGGGTGCACGGTCCTTGTGGCCGTGTTAGGATCAAAGAGTGGTTCCATGCAGTCAGTGTGGAGCGGACTACGGTCAAGCCACCGTCTTGTGTGCGCTTGATTCCCAAATACAGTGTGCTTGTGTTTGCCTGTGAAGGAGTGTGGGCCGGCTCCGTTGATGAAACGTGGTTCCCATCCACATGCCTTCCGGTCTTATTCCTTCGGGTTTACACTGGATATGGTGTGTGTGGTTGGAGCTGTGGGTGGTGCAGCGCAAGCCATCCATGGTCCCTCTGTAGGCGCAGGCGTCCTGTGGCTGGCCACAGTGACTGGCAAATCCGAAACCGGATGCCGCCAAAGATATATATATGTATATTTATTTATTTATTTATTTATTTATATTTATATTTATATATAATGTATCGTGGCAACTGCGTCTCCTAAACTTCTATACCCAAGCCAAGGTAATTCTTCAAATGAAGTGGTCGACAGCCATTTCGCATCCGCAGTCACAGAAAGTTAATCCTTTCTGCTGCATGGTCCTTGAGAACACAATGCTTGTCTCCCTACACATTTTCGACTGAAGTTTTCCCTTTGTTTCCTTATGCTACTCAGCTTTCAACCGTCTTCCATTTTTGGGTTGAAAGCGCCTTTGTAAATCTTTCACACTCTTTGTTACGCCAATCGTTAATGTTGTCGGTGCTCACCAGTCCTTATTATCAGCATAGTAAAGAACAGAAGACTGGGATATCGGCGGAAGGCTCTATCCTTAAGCAACCGAGTCGCTACGAGCGACACTTGTCACAACAGCTAATTACTGATTGGAGGGGTCATTTTAAAGCACTCGTAGTGTATACGAGTTGCAGGCGACATCCAATATCTATCTGCCTCACGGTCCCAGTGCTCGAATTGACCCAGCTTCACTTCGATGCGGATCGCGGTCCACATTGGGATTGCGCAACCAGTGCCTCAAGATGACCCTTCCAACTAAAGGACTTATTGTGAAGGACACCATGTTATTTGTCTCATTGCCCTTGCCTCATAAATGTTCATCTCTATCATATTGTTGCCCGGAAATCATGCTCATGAAAGTCTAACCAATGAAGTCCAGCATAGTCAATTCAATGATACAGCGAGTTACTCATATCTGGTATTTGTTTCGGTGATGGCGAACAGCCATTGGACACCTGCACTATGGGTCGCACCATTTATAACTCCTTCCTCAAGCCCCACATCCCCATTGAACTCAAAAGACCGAGAGACATGAGGGCGAGAGGCGTGATTGATTTATGTAAAACTGAGAGATACTTGCGTTCTGGGTGCACACAATACACCATTGTGCTCAGTGGCACTCTACTAACCATTAAATAGTCGTCCATCGCAACGTATCTAAGCAGCCATGATTCAAAAGCATAACCCTCGCTTGTTTAACACTGCGTGCGCAGTAAATACAACTGACTACGAAGGTCCGCTGAACGGGCGAAACGACCCTTATGTGCACTTCCTACCCTGGGCCAGTTATAATGAATACCAGGCGTGCCATTTACTGCCCCTCACCCAATGCTCCCGTATAATTGTTACTCTACCCTGTTGTGTCACCCCCAACTGCTCCAACCCAAGTCGGTAACGAGAACACCAAGACGAGCAATGACGGGGTTCTTACTATCAGCAGAATTGTTGCAGCCAAGACCAATCAATCCACTGAGAACACCGGACTGAGGCAACCAATAAGAGGGTAGTCACATAAAACACCAATCAGACGCGCTCAACGGGGCGCAATTGATAGTGTCAGTCTTAGAGAAGAAACTGATAAGAAACAACAGCTGTTAATGGCCAATAAAGCTGCCAGAATGATATGTCAAAATAGATGTAAACAATAAAAATGAATGTCTGCAATTACGAACTGTCACACCAAATGAAGCTCAATTTAACTTTCCCCCTAACATACCCCTGGGAGCTGCCCGTCCTCTACACTGCGACAACATGCAAATTAGTGGATAGTGGAGCTCAGCCACACGACTACTAGGGTTGACAAGTTATGTGGAATATCTCCGAGAGCCGTGGACTGAAGAGTTAAAGCTCAGTTTGCAAAATCAGTGTTTACAGCGTCCAGCTGAGCCGAACAGAGTCTGTAGCATTTCAGGACGTACACCAGCCATTCGACTGAGTCTTTTTCAGAACAGATCAGTCTAAAAGCCACCGTCGTAGTGCTACTTCGCTGGACACTTAAGTTGTTGTAAACTGCACATGAAAACCTGACCTACGTCGCGTTTCACTACTGGATGGACTATTGGTTACTTACAAGTGATAATTTTGAAAATATTCAGAGAGACATACATACGGTTTGCACAACTGGTACAAAGTATCGACAATATATTATTACAGGATACAAAGAGAGCCATACCACTGTTCAACCTACTAGGGAGGTTAATAAAACAGATGAAACCAATTGACCTGTTGTGAGCAAGTACAACATACTATTCGTATCGAAGTGGTGGGATGGAGGTATGTAGCAGTTTAGTAAATATAATGGCATGGTATAGCTTCCGCTCGTTTAGCAAAGTCAAAATATAACGTGGAGCCGAAAGGGACAAAGTGCTTAGAAAAAGAAAATCTGATCCTGATAAACTGATGTGGATATACATAGGCCGCAATTTATGCGAACACACTCCGCGGTCTTTAGGTGGCTACACGAAACGCCACTTGTTAGGCACCAAATTGTACCAAGTCGACCTAGTGCCACACAATTATTGACGTTCGTGGCAGCGATATCCCGTTTGTGTAGCCAACAAATGTAAGTGACGTGGGAGCAGGTACCCATGTTGGATGGTGCTTGCTTTATGGTGTCGTGCCACAGCGATCGCATTCCACTAAAGTATCTCCCCTAGTCCGTTCTGAGTTCGAGCTCCCGACATGGCTTTACGCAAACACCACATAGATCACTGAAAGTACAAATCATACACGCTGTACCGAAGCCGGTGTCTGGCTCCGCCATTCTGCAACGAAACTATATTCTGTGAGGTCCATCGCAGCCAGTTTCCAAATCAGCTAATCATCCACATGCCCGGAAAAGCACTAGATTGCAGTTTCAGCCTGTTGGGCATCGTCAGTAGTGCGCATCCACCGGATCCGTCATGAGTACATCAAATTATGTCCGCGCTGACAGTTTCTAAATGCTATGTCGTACATAGCTACTGTTAGTGGACGTCGTGTCTTTCGGGGCCAATCCTGTCCTCTGCAACGTTCGTAACTTGCATGGCAGTGGAGGATAAGACGCGCTAAATCGCAGTTAGCTTGTAAATCATGACGGTCCGAAACTGTCCCCCGTGGCCCAGTGGCATAAGCTGCTGACTGGCGGTTCAAGCTGCTGGTGGTCATGGGTTCGAATCCTGATGGATCCGATGGATGCGCACTACTGACGATGTCCAACAGGCTGAAACTGCAGTCTAGTGCTTTTCCGGGCATGTGGACGACTATCTGATTTGGAAACTGGCTGCGATGGACCTCACATAATTACATCAAAATCCCCTACTCATGAGTACATGAAACTATATTCTTCCTTCTTTTTATCTGCGTCTAGGTGTGCGTTGTGCCCTTATCTGCCGTAAATTGTGTCTACCGATCTCACTTCGTCAACCCTACGTTCGTTCAGATTCGGTAGTCCTGTTTTGTTTCAGAACAAACCACAAGGCTACCCAGTGGCAAATGCGGTAAAACCTACAAAAGTTGACCACCCAAAGGACTGGACCAGTGTGGTAAAGGTCCAGAGATGGTCAACTTACGAAAGTCTGGACCCATAAAGTTTACATAGTTCGCATTCAAGCAATGAAAAAACCGGTCAACTTAGAGAGCTGATCAGAATAGAGAGACGGTCAACTTCGGATGTTTTATCGTAATGCACAGTTGAAAAAGTTAATGCTACACGTGATCGGGAAATACGCAGACAGTAGTCTATCACATTGGTTTCGTCCAGGTTAAACGGTGGGACCTGATATATGCAGTCTCAACACTGGATATTCAAAAGATTTACTTACTCGCCTCCTCACCAAACACATCACGGAAATGGTGTGTGCAATGGGCAGATTTTGCAGGCCTATTCAAAAGCACCGGTTACAATCCGCGTTCATCCTCTGTTCCATCCGTAAGACGCTAATCGATGTGGTCAAGTCAACCCATTTGGGAAACGGTCCTACTAACGCAAGTCCTGTTGCGTTTGTTTGTCTTCTGGTTCACAGTGCAACTGTCTATCAGCCCAGCAATTGCTAATGTTAACTACTTACGCCCACCCTATCACCCCCGCTGGTGAACAAACTTAACGCGCTTCATTTGGCAACCAATGAGGGCAACGTAAATGACGCAAGTGGCTACCTGATTGGCTCGCTGTCGCGTGTGTCACTCTGTTCGACTTGACCGTATCGGGGCTAGGTAAGTCGGAAGGGGTAGTGAAAGGGGGTGAGAATTCGCAGTCGTGTTGCATCCACATTGGGAGTGGCCGGACGAACATACATAACTTTGTGTTGGAGGCAACGGAGTTATGGAAGACAACTATCCTTCCCCCCGCTGATAGGTTTTTCAAGCGTTATGTTCAAGCCTGGCCAGTAGAGAGCTTAAAGCATTTTAAGCACACACTCTCACAACGGGGGCCAATGCCTGCAAACGCGTGGTTGTAAACGATGGTTTCCCAATCTACCCGGATTGTGTGTGTGTGTGTGTTGGGGCAAGCGCAGTCTATTTGCTCGCTACAAATCCTCTCCGGATTGTCGCATCCCATTCATATGGTTCCGGGGGGCTGACTGCCATCAATCATTTGCACAACAGGCATCTCCTCAGTCGTCGCGCTCACATCTCAGAGACGAATCACACACTCTCGTGTGCACACACGCGCTTTCGTTTGTCAATCTAATCGAGCAATTGAGACGATTGCCCAAGCTATAGCGCACGACGTGTCTGTCAAGTCTCGGAACAGTAAAGTCATCAATCTGAGACTAGGACGAAAACGGTAATCGCAAACTGACAGCGCATCTACCACCACCACCACCACCATCACGAACTCAGCCAAACTCTGGATCCAGTACCCCAGTGCAAGCAACACTGCAGCAACCGTCGTCGTCCTCGTCGTCAACGTCATCAGAATCCCCACATCTCCACCTGTTCTTGTCCTTCAAACAGCCACGATAAACATGACATGGTGGGGTGGGCTGACAATGCGCTTATTGATCTATTCCTACATCAATTGTCAAGTCTGACGTGCCTCAACCTCGGCTTATACTGCACCAGTTTATCCCCTGCACTGTCTGTCAGAGCTGTCCACCGCCTGTCAGCTTGAGAGCGGATCAGGCAAAAGAGGCGTGCGCAAGGCTCGGCGTTGATTGACTCGGACGACATCTGGCTAACCACATGTAGCATCTTTTATATTCCTAAATTTATCGATCTGTTTGGGGGATTACACGTGATCGATTTATGAATTAATTGGAGCGATCTAGCGAACTGTTTGAAGTGACCGCAAGAAAGGCCGTCCGATACTACAAGCAATTTTCCATTACATCGTATCATAAAGTAAGTTATGCGGCCTTTGTCCAAATTTCTAATCCTACCGTTTGAATGATATGTGTTTAGTGGCCTGGTTAGTGCCCACAATTTACTGCATTTTACGTCCCTGGCCGGTTCGTAGCCTAAAGGATCACAAGCCTACCTTTAATCCGAGAGCGCGGGGTCGAGTCTGCGTAGGGGAGAGGGCGACCTTCGCAGTATGCGTAGCCCACGCGCAACTATTGGTGGTTGCGTGGCAGCGAAGCGTCGGTACTGTGTACCGACTTACTGCTGACGTCATTTGTACATCCCAGCTTGTGAATTCGTCTGGTTATAATTCCATCTATCCGTACGTACTGGGTTCACATTAGACCTCTAGCGGATGGTGGCCCTTTCGATTCCAATTTGTAGCTTGCCGGGACCGAGAAAGCTTGTATTAACTCTGAAATGCATGAAGTGCTGTAATCTATGAATTTACATCGAAGCCACTTTACTGTCACGAAAGGACACGCTTGTTACCTTTAGGCACCTGAAGCATCCGCCAATAACTTTGACCAAATCCCACCGAGTAGTTAAATGCTACAAAGTGTGCAAATGATCTACTGAGTTTACTTCCATCATATACTCCGGCAAACCGTTCAAAGCACAGGAGATGAGGAACTCGTTTCCGCTCCAGCTCCACGAGCTTGTTCCGGTGTCTGAGTATGGTCCAAGGTGTTCGCAAGTGGGGGACTGGTCTCAGCATGGGGAACTCGCTGAGACATAGAATGCAGTAGGTCATGATGAGGTCGACTCCTACCGGTCATCAAGACAGGGAGTACACTGCCAACCTCTCGCACCTGCCTTAGTTCCACCTTGGTAGCGATGTGTTTGACGTTTCCGAACTTTTGCGCCTCGCCTCGAGTGGTCGGGCAGTAGGCGGGTTAGCCGTAATCTAGCATCATGATGAGACAGAAGAGGAGTGGGTTAACACAGATGCACCAACATGATGAATAACAATATGGAATTTTCTCGATGTCTCGATTTACTAGCCAGTCTGGTATGCTCTCGAGGTGAAGCGTTGATACGATGATTGAACGCGTAAATACGTAAGATCAATCGGTGTATCAACGATGCAATATGATGGGACATTGTATCTGATCCGGTAAGTAAACCAATGCTTAACGGGCCCGTAGTGAGATCAATGGGGAGGGATTTAGAGAGCAAAACTAGACGTACTGGCAAAGTAAGGGACGTGTTTGTGGAGTTGTATCAGGAGATACAATTAGACATGCAAGTGAACCAGTCGGTCTCCATCTTATGGGAGGATTGGTGAGTATACCGTTCGTTTACGTCATGTGGTTCCCTAATGGTCGAGAGCTAGATCATATGCGGTCACTGGTTTCATAAATCTTCAAGATCGTTTCCCAGTCGATAAACTCACAGACGAGAATATTCTTGCAGATCTACTCCAATCAAGTGCCCCAAAACACGGCATGAGTATCCAGGAAGCGAGGGTAGACCCGAGTTTGCAAATCTACTGTGCTCACAAAAGCATTTGGTTCAAAAAGCACCTACCTTTTAGGACTCCAGTACTGCTGCCACAGTGATAGGGTTCTACCGAACCTTTGCGGAATGCCGTCCAAGATTATTTAAACACCCGGTCTCAGTAAGACATACATGCCATCATTAATAATGGGTTACCATGTGACTCCGGCACAGTTTATTTCGCTTGTCCAATCTCACTGATTATCCACCACGAATTAAATACTTCATGTGACTGGCTATTAGCCTGATGTCTCGTGGAATCAAGCCTTCGTACCATGCGGTTTGATCCGGTTTATAGTTCCTGGTTATCAGAAAACAGGATACGCACTTGAGAATAGAAGAGGCACCCTTTGGATATTTTTCGGTAACTTTACTGAATGGGCATATGCCAGCAGGCTCACCTGTTGCACGCAGCCTGTCCGTTACGGAGTAAACAGGTATGCCGTCAAGAAATTTTGCGCGGTTTCAATGAGCTTCGGAAATCCGTATGGCTGACCACCCATATATGTCTATTCCAAATGATGCAACTTTTGGTGGTTTCAAGCCTACTGAAGAAGGATGTACAAGGGGCATGTCACATGACATTATAAACGCCCAAATGTGATGGCGAGCTGGGTACCCATGCAAAGTGAGCAGCTTATGTTCAACCGGCTAACCTTTCCGTACATCGTTGGTAGCAGCGTTCGAAAAAGGGTATCACTAGCGTGCACTCTTATCAGTCAACCACTGATCCTCCATCTGAGATGAAAATCGTTCGCGAAAGAAAATGAAGTTTGACGCTACGCATGATACGTGAGGTCAAACGAGGTGGAGGCAGTATATCGATGAGTTGACCATAAACTCGCTCCAAGCCGCGAGTGAAGATGACTGGTGAAGCTCTACCAAGTTGTGGAAGTGGGACGAAGCTGTGCTGAAGGCTAAAATGCCAATCTGGCGGTCCTCATTTGTGCAGTACCCAATTCGGTGCAGAATCGCTACCTCTGTAACGCGGAGGGGTTTGTACGTACTAAGGACGTGATGAAACCAAGTATTCCGTTACTCTAACCAAATTGCATTGGATATGGCTTTCGACTGACCAGCATTGATAAGCAAATGCATTGCGACACGACTGTGGCCCCTCCTCTGCTCATTGGGGCAGAAAATTTCACCTTACCTTCAACGCAACACCGTCTCCGTTTGCTAACCGCTCAGGGTGCTAGCAGTGTACCGCGGGGATATTATCCTTGACGTTCAAAGGTTATCATGGAGGTATGTTAGTGGGGCTGTTTCGACTCAGAACCCGAATAGAAAAGGAAGGGATCCTACCATTCTAGACCATCGTTCACCTGCAGTGTCAATGTATTAGATTAGGCCCACACTGGTGAGACTCTATAACATTGTGAACAGCATGATACCGTCAGTCACATGTGCAACGGTAGAGTAGAATTAGATGAAACATCATCATTTCGTTGTGCTATTGACTCGCAGCGCTCAATCAACACCGGTGTTATGCAGTATGAAGATGTAAGTTACGGCCGTCTTGATTGACAAGTTCCAGTATGCCAATTCGGTGGTGACCCGGTGGCTCTTCAGCAATATCGATGTCAGCGCTTCCATTCAGAATGTCGTGGAGCATGTTCTTTCTTGAAGTAGCACTTACTTCCTGACTAGTATTCAGATAGTATCCATCAGGTTGTTGAATGAAGTATCTTCTGACAGGCTCCACAAACCACAGATCCGGAAGCGAAACAACGCAATTCTGTTCTAATTACACCTAGACCTTGATCCAGTAATCCATCAGGTCACGAATCGCTTCAACGCAGATCACGAACGTAACTTCGGTTGTATAACGCTGCTCTATCACAGTTATAGTTGCGTTACGATGTGCATTGTTTGCTTTGTGCACGACCTTGTAGGCATCCGGCTTAAAAGCAAGAAGTCTTGAACTCAAGGGAACTTGGTGGCCCAATCAAAAGCGTTAAAAATTTTCCTAGAAACAAACGTCGTGAACCCGCGAGTATTCGCATTATGTGTACTTTCCCTCTGGGTTATGCACCTTGCAGAACAGCTCAAATGAGCAGGTTCCAGCTCGAGGTGAGGACAAAGACGATTGATGACTGTTCCCCCAGTGACTTGTTTGCAAAGACAAGTCTTTAACGTTCGATGGCACACTATCTGATTCGTTTGTTCAACGGTGCAATTTAGCTGCCAAGTGTGGACATTTCACGGCGGGACTTACACTGAAACAACCCTGTGATAAACTCAGATGCTACCATCCATTACTTCCATAATACGTTGTCTAGCGACGTGTTCTTCACCATCTTCCTTCCGTTGAACCATCCGGTGAGTAGGCTAGTAAGATGGAAGGATTGGTAGGAAAAACCATCCTCCACGGACGTCAGCTATATGCACCGGAGTATCCTTTATTCCAACTTGAATCCACAAGGCGTGCAACGACGGACGGTGCGCTATTTGCTTATCTGAGAGCATATGTATCCTACTTCTGATATGCGGTCATCTCATGCCCAGTTCAGGTTAGGTCTCTTAATCCACACATAGTGGCTCCCAAAATCATGGCCATATGTAAGCAAGTGAATTGGTGAGCAACGTTCAAAGAACACAAGGGGCTCCGCCGAATGCACCCCCTGGGTACTCCCGGGGGAGCATGCTTCGCAGCTCTGTCGCTTCGGTTTTACGGTCAACATAGGGCGTGTGGATGGAGTCGTGTAGTGCAGCATAGACCACCCACGGCCCATCTGTAGGTCCAAACAATCCGGACGATCCGGAAGCGGCTGATGCCAACCACTTTGCTACTACTGCTATACCTGAAGTAGTATCAAGCAAGACCACGCACAGAAACATCACTCGGCACGCGCCTCCAATCTCATAGCGAGTTTTGTTGATGAAGAAAATTGGTGCCATTGAAGATTGGCTCTAATTAGGTAAGGAGCAGGGTCTCTCAACCTCTAGTAACAATAAGCCGATTTAGAGTCACTACAACTGAATACAGAAAGAACGACGAGCTATACTATGAACTCATAGAACTCTAGTCAAGTTAGCCGGCGTCATGTTAAGGAAAGCGCAATTAACAGCTTTACCGGACACGAGGTTCAGGAAGGCGTAGTCTTTGAGTGCCAGTTGTTGGCCACTGTCATGTCCGGTCGAAGTGAGTGCGTATTGTTGAGAGTTGTAGGTCAGGTGTCGGCATTATGAGGACACGGCTGTATGCACGGTCAAAGTCGGTCCGCTCACCCGGACGCACCATGTGACATGAGACAAATATTCACATGCGTCGAGTGACTGGGTCGCGATAGCTAATCACAACACAAAGTTGGTCGGTATTTCAGCAATCCAGGATTCGACCGGAAGTCCCTGCGTCCCGGAGTCGAGCCGCAGTCCTGCTTTATCTATTTGAAGAGCGTAAACGGTTATGAAACTGATCATGTTGTGCAATAGCTCGGGCATCACCTGATCCAATTGACATTACTCATGTTCAACTGCAGACGACGCACCAACTACTT